CTAGTCTACGTTATTTAATTTTATGGTGATAAGATTATTAATAATTATAACTTGTTTTAATCCACTTAATATGTAGAATATTCTATAAAATAAAGTTCAAACAATAATTTAAATAATTAGGATGTTTGAAAATTCTTTCGATGTAAATTTATCGGTATAAAATTTTATCATGAATATTGTTATAACATAAAAATTATTATATATTAATATTTAATTTTATGTTGCGATCATATGAATATAACTTTATTTATTTATAAATAACAAAAATAGTGTATATATTTCCAAGTAAACAAGTTTTAAATAACTTTTGTATAAGCTTTCTGTTGATAATCTAAATCTAATTAATCATCTATTCAAATTTTTGATAACCTTATTTATTTATATTTAAAAGTACGTTATTTTATGTCCATATAATTATAGAATACTATCTTGAAAATAATTGAGATAATCAATTTAGATAATTTAGATAATCAAAAAATTGTTAAGAATAAAATAAAAATTCAATCTATAATACTATATATTTCTTATACTATTATATGAATATATATTAATAGCTTTTAATTGTTAAACCATATTTCTCCTTTGTAAAACTCTCAATTATTACTTACCATGAATTTCAAATTTTCACAATAGTGACAAATTTAAAATTAATTATTTAGAATGTCAAAATAATAGAAATTTAAAATGAAATACTCTTTTCAATTAAGTTCAAAATTTTGCTTAATTAGTAGTACTTAATGCTCCAATTGCTTCTTATAATATAAATTATATTAAAAATAAAAATGTTTAAAACATAACATTCATTTAATTATATATTTGTCTTTTATAATTCATCGGTCTCCATTCTTCAATATCATTAGCTTATTTTTTAATCAGTTAATTTTTACTTGAATGAATGCAAAATGATAATAATAATTTTATTAATTTAATATATTATTTAAAATTCGGATAGTGAAAATTAATTCTTGTCATACTTTTTCTAAATGTTATATTATAATAGTATATAAATAATTAGATCTATAATTATGTTCAATAATATATCTATAACTTTCTACTTCTGAGAAAATCTTTTGAAAGGAAATTAATTAATTCGGTATTATTTACAAATAATTTGGAAAATTTTTAAGCTTGTATAGTTATTGATTATATACAACATTCATATTTAAAATTTTAATTAATATTTAACAATTTAATAATTTTTTTAATCCCTTGACATATCCTCTGAAATAAATCAATTTGATTGAATATCAATCACACTTTAGTATGCAATCAATTGAATCATAACAATTTGGCTAAATAAAATATTCATACCTATAAGCATTTAAACAATTTAACTATAACAATGATTACTATTGAATGAAAGATGATTTTACCAATTTATTTTATTAGTTTACGTTTAGGTTGAATGTAAATTGTAACGATAAATGAAATTTCAATACATCAAAAATTTATTTATATATTATGGTTTAAATACTATTCAAATAAACAATAAATTGCAGTAACAATAATAGAATGACCCCGTTTTAAAAGTGTTATTTGCGATAAAATGTAAGTATCTGAAATTTAATGAGAAATAAAATTAACAAAAATATATATAAAATATTAAAAAAAAAAATCAATAACATAAAACAAATGATACCAATAATCGAAAAATTAATTATTGATAAGGGGAATGGAGAGCAATGAAAAATAGATCTGGTTCTTTGAAAAAAACTAAATACATTCTCGGATATATTAAAGAATTAATAAGAATAATTAAATCATAAATATGATTATACCAACAAATATTTAGTATAATAAGAAAAATCTTAAACTTAATAATTTGATAATTTGTAATGTGATGTGCGTGTAAGTGTGTGCGTGCGTGCGTGCGTGCGTGCGTGTGTGTTTGTGTAGCATGCGCTTGCGAATGCATGTATGAAAAAGTACTTTCATTACCTTTTAGAATTGTGTACTCATTAACTTTTATATATTTATGATAACTATCTAATTTATGCTTCAGGTATTATAATGGAAGTGCAGTATAAATTTGTATTAAAAGGTATACTAATTACTCTAATAGCCAGACACTTTAATTTCAAGAAGCATATGCATTAAAAATTACAAAAATACTGTATGTGTATGTATATCTGTTATTACATATATATATATATATACATATACATATATATACTATCAATTCATTGAAAAGAACTAACTCCCTATTACAAATACACACAAATTCTTTCTTTCTCTCTTTCTCTCCCTGTTTCTCGCCAATCCTTTTTTTTTACTCTTACTCATTCTCGCTTCCACTGATTTCTTTATCTATTATACTTTGTCTCGTTCGTTTCTCTTTTTATTATTTTATACTCATAGATCATTTATTCTCGTTTCTTCATTTATTGTTGATTCTAGCTTTTCTCCCTTCCTAATGCGTCTGACGACATTACCTCATGGATTCTTCCGCGTGACATGCGTCATGGCTTTCGCCGACGCCAATCCAGTTCCAAGGCGCAAAAGACTAACATACGCGACACGCTAATTTTAGGATACAACTCTACCGTACGAGAAAGCTACAACAATTATATATCTCGCCAAGAAAGAAAATAATAATGAAGTAAAATATGATGAGAGTTGAACCGTGCAGAGATATATTAATGCAGATGTTTTTCAATTTTTAGAAATGAATAGACCTTATACGAAGATATTATTACATCTTTGTAATTAAAGTATCAGGCGATATAAATTATAAAGATAAATGCTTTGAAGGTAAATAGAAGGTACTTTGTGTAACTGATAAATATTTATAATGATCGTAGCAAATAATATATATTTCTTTCAATGGTCAAACTTAAAAAAGAACATTGCAATGATAAAAAAATCTTATTCCTAATTACATTAAATGTAAAATCTACATGTAATTAAATAAGTATGATATATGATTTTTTTAATATAATAGTTACAATTTATATATGTCATTGTTTTATAAATTTTCTTTATTACGTACTTTATCTTTCTAATCATATGCCAATTAAAATGTGAGATTTCATCAAAGGTGATGTCAAGATTAGTTCAAGATCATAGAATCAACCGTTTGTTACGTTAGATATAAGATAATTAAATTGATAATGAAGAATATCCAAAGCACGTATGTATATATTTGTCTTGCCACACACGCATCATTATACATAATTTATGTTGATATACTATTTATATTATTCAAATTAATTTCAACTTAATTTTGGATTAAATTGTAATGATTGTAAGAAAAAATTCAAGAATTTCATAAAAATAAATTGAAGACATCATTGGGCTTATAATTATAAGTCTATTCATTACTTTCATTAATTATTTAATATAATAAAATAATAAGATAATGTGCTCAAGAGGAAAGGCTAAAGGTAGCAAATGAAATTAAATACATAAGAGCTAAACTTCATTACTTTTCTCAATATACAATCAGCTATCATTTCTTTATTATTATTTCTATATCATTATTAAATTCAATATTAATTTTATACTAAATTCAGGCCAAAATATTATTTTACATTTAAAAATAAAAAAAGAATTTACAATTTATCAGTTAATAAAATTCAATTAAATATTTTATTTTTATTATAAAATATATTAAATATTATATTATATTAAATATTATATTTTATTTATGTTGAATTATATATATTTTCTAAAGTTTACGTGAGATCTAAAAATCATTTTATTATTGATAATTTAAATTAAAAGATGAAATGCTACAATAGAAAAACATTTTTCAAAAAAAAAAAATTATATTAAAAGATCAGGAAGAAATCGTTTTATAGACTCGTTTCTTAAATGTGAGATTTTATTTTAAATACTTAACATCTAATTTTTATAAAAGAAAATTCAAAAGTATAGAATTTAATTATTTTTTAATTATTTATATATTATGCAATTATCTATTTCAATAATTTAATGATAATATATATTTTTCAATGGTCTTTTATGTAATTTTTGATCATTTTAAATACGCATTCAGATTATTTTTAAAGACTGCTTAAGCTTAGTTTTATCAGTCTATTTCTACAGTTTTGATAATCGAAATAATGGAATCATACTAGATATAATAAACTATAGTCACAAACAAACAATAATATATAAGAGTAATATACCTTATTTAAACAAAATCATTTGAAATTTTAAACCATATTTTCTGGTTTGTACATACAAGAATTGAAATATATATAATCGTTGAACAAATTCCAATCCCTTTATGGACCAGAATTTTTTTTATATTAAAAATATAATAAGAATTAAAAATAATGTATTAAAAAGTAGTTTCTGCCAATATGATATAAGCTATATAGCTTTATAGTATTAGGAAATTTAAAAAAAATAATATTCAATAAAATCAGTTTTTACTGTACTACAACTTAATAACAATTGTGCAATATAAAATAGAGATTTATTGAGCAATTGTTTTTCAAATGTATAAACAGAATGTTAAGACATTTTTTACCTTTAACATACGTTGATTGTGATGATTTTTATTGATAGTATCATTATTTAATAATAGGCATAAGAAAAATGAACCCTTATCTGTACGATTATATTAAAACGTTAAAAACTTGTAATTATACTTATTGTAATATGTTTTGAGGCTTAGAATAGTACATAAACTCATATATATATATATATATATATATATATATATAAACGTATAATGATTATGAATTCACACTTAATTTACTGCGCATGCGGTATAATATCTCTGTCTTTCTTGCATTGCAGTCGGCACTTAAACTTGCTCTTTACTTCTCTCTCTCTCTCTCTCTCACACACACACACCTTCACACACACACACACACACACACACACACACACTCTCTCTCTCTCTCTCTCTCTCTCTCTCTCTCTGTCTCTCTGCGAGACACATACGCGCGCGCGCGCGCATACATATACTCTATTTCATTCACTCTCTATATCTCACTCTCTATATCTATCTATTTATCTATTTATTTATGTCTATCTCTGTCTCTTACATTCTGTATCTCAGTCTTTCTTCCACTTTCCCCTTGACTCCCTTAATATCTGTCATTTCTTCTCTCGTCCGTCTTTCATCATTCCCGTATGCACAATACTATAAAAGAATAATCATGTTCACTATTATGTATCCTAAACCATACAAGTGTTTACGTAAGCTATTGTATATTGAGTATAAAATTAAATTTAAATTATTGAAAGATATTCACTAAACTGCGGAACGGCCTCCCCGTTAATTTACCGAATGGAAATTGCTATCGATGATAGGCTAATTTACGAAAGCACGACTCACGCACGATACGCTACGTACAAGTTACGTTCACGAACATTCGTTTATATGTGTGCGCAAGCATACGCGTGCACATGTAACAACGGTGATATCTATTTTTCTGGAGAGGACAGTCTCTGTTACTTGTGCCGATCACGACGGCGGCACAGACAGTACTAAAGCGTTGCGCGACCGATTAAACTCTCGAAGGCTCCCGCTCTAGCGTCTACGTGCGAATGCACATTAGTGTATGGATGCCAAAGGCCTCCTGCGTGTGTGACTTCTCGCACGCTTCGGATGGGCTAAGATTTTATTGAAGATTTGGTTGTGAAATGTCTGCAGCACGAATAGTGAACAATTTTATAGAGGATTTACTTGGCCCGGATTCACTTAATACGCGTACGTGAGGGAGCTAACGCGCAGGTAGACAGAGATCTCTTAACCATAAGGGCATAAGGGCATAAATTAAGTATAGTAACGATGGAGTGGAAGGAAGTGTTCGGTTGGCAGTGAACTTTTTAATCATTAAATGACTATTATCTGAATATTATCTTGAAATTGTTGAGCACTGCTAATATTGACGTCGTGTCGTGACTTATTCGTCATATGGAAATACCCATTCAAAAATATTTATCTAGCTATTAGTAAATTTAGTTTAGTAAATAATGTACGATAATTGTTTATTAAAATTCTACGTAAATTTAATTAAACGTATTTTATTTTCTAAAAGTTTAACACATTCTTTTTTAATTTCTTATAATATGATGCACAATTATTTTGCTGAGATAATAAAATGAGTAATGAAAAGAATTTTACATTTTGCAAGAAATTTCACTTTCCTATTATAATAACGAATGAAAAGAATTATGAATTTATCGGAAAAATTGTAAATATTCCATTCGTTATAAATATCCTTAATAGCGGTTGTTGTTTTTTTTTTAATTAATTCATATATCAAGTACATTCAATTAAGCCTGAATATTATATTACTTTCTTCTATGTATTAATATATAAATTATTACAAAGCTTGAACTTTAACTTTCTAAACTTTACTTTCACAATGATTCAAAATTTTAAATTAATATATTTATTTTACTATTAACTATTTACTACAATTAAATCTTGCAAAAGCTAAAATTTACTATAAAGTAATATAACCATTTTGGTTTATTATATACTACGAGCAATATTCTTATGTATAATGCATATGTTATAGAGAATAATTAAAAAAAAAAAAAAAAACATAATATGAAAAATATATTTTATACTCTACTCGTTGTTTTTTGTATATGTGGACCTTTACCGCATCCAATCATTGTTACATAATATTTATATAATAAAATAGTAAAACAGTAATAGTGTTAGTTACAAAGGATTTAGATAGGAATATACATATATTTATATAATTAAAATTGTATTTGATTTATTATCCCGAATGATTTTCATAGTTATGGATTCAGAAGAAAATATAATTTTATCCACTATTATATCATTACATAATTTAATCCAATTTCTTCAAATTCATAATAGAAATTTTCCTTGTGTAAAAGTTTAAACTAGTATTAATAGTTTTAAATATTCATATAACAAATCTTTCATATGATTCATCTGCTAATGCATTTCATTAAGTATACATATTATATATATATATGTGTGTGTGTGTGTATCTATGTGTGTGTGTGTGTGTGCGTGTGCGTGTGTGTGTATCTGTGTGTGTGTATAAATTAATTTCATAATATTTTTAAATTTTAATTAGATCTGTCAATATAGAATTAAAATATTCATAAGATTCTACCTAATAAAATTTAATATCTCTATTCAAAAAGTTTACATTAATTTTAGTTATTTAAATTCGATTCAAATTGGAAAACTAATATAATTTTATAAATTTCATAAATCCTTAAGTACATCATTATATTTTATATCATACATGTGAATCTAACACCAATAAGTGATACATTAGTCCAAGTATATCATCACTATCAAAATTACAATAAATTTGGAATAAAAAAACAATACTTTATAATGATCTCTTACCTGTCGTAATATGTAAAGCATACAATAAGGTTAAATAATCAATAATTATCTACTGTTTAACAAATTAATACCTAGTTACTTATCATAAATATCATTATTTTATTCAAATATTCATTAATTTAACATTTATATATAGTATAATTCTTATGTATATATTTATGTATGTAATAATATAAATTAACAAGTTTATAAAGTAACCATTTGACGTTATTATGAATAAGAATGATTATTTAAAAAAAAAATTGTAATACACAGTTATTTTTTATATATATAGTAGTAAAGAAAATATTACGGCCAATCAAATTTAATAAGAAAAACATTTTATTTTGACTTTCTTTTAACTTTCTTCATAATATAATATAAATATTTGGGTTATGATTTTTTTTTAAACTATTTAGAAATGTGCACAATAAATAGTTGTAATTTGAATTGAATGGTTATTGAAATTAAATATTCGGTTAAATATTCAAATTGATTACAATAATTATATATCTTTGTGATATAAAAAATAATATTTAAATAAAGAATATAACATGTAAATAATTTAAATATTTAATTTTTATTTAAAATTCTTAATTTTGTATTTTATGAATCGCATTCATATTCCACAATTAATATAATTTACTGTTAAAAATTACTTTTCTACTACATATTATTTAGGTATCTATATATATATATATATATATATATATTTGCATTATTATGTAATTTAAAGTCTTTAACTGAATATTTAAGACTATCAGAATTTATATAAATAATATCATATTTAATCTTAATAATATCATATTTAAATTATCATATTAAACTATTGTGTATGGTTAAAATCATTTGAATTAATAAAGATCCTATAAGAATTTTTAACTTTACCAAACTGATATTTATATCTATAAATAAATATTTAAAAAGCGTTTAACAGGCATAAATGTTCATATTAAAAAAATATATAAAATCCAGTATAATAGTATGTGATATTGTAGTATTTTTTCGTTAAAGTGAAAAATTATGAAAGGAAAATATTGTACATATATTTATTTTTATCTAAATTTTATTCATAATAAATTTATTGTAAATTTCAATGTTTGCTTTGTATTTAAAATTAAAATAACTGTTTGCTGTATGTAGTTTTCTATATTCTTTTCAAAGTTTCAATGTAATACTAAAATATAAATTATCTACTTCTATAATAGAAAATATTTCTTTTCGTCATACATTTTATAAATCTTTCTCAATATAATTTACGTACTAATTTAGTTATTCTATAAGCAATATTTATTTCTTATTATTATTAATAAGTTTTATTTGTCTATCATTAAATTTGTTATGTTCACCTAATAATGTGTAATTAATGATATAAAATTTTATTGAATGTCTTTAAATTTACTAATATAAAACAAACAAGTGCTATAAAATAAAATATATAAATTTATCTATTTATTATAAGGACCAATTATAATTATTGGAATTATATAAAATAGGGTATTCATTGTTTGTATGCTGTTAATTATTTTCTATAAATCTAATTGATGACTATATAATTTTATTTTTTTACAAGTTACACTACCTATAATTTAGATTGAACATTTTATCGAAATATGATAAAATCACAATTATTAAACGACAAGTACAAGGTAATAATATTTATAAGCTGAATGAATATATAAATCATATAAAATATGATAGTGAATTCATATTTATTAATACAAATGATATAAAATATAATTAGCAATGAACTTTCACAAATGTACACTGTGACAAATAAATGTTGCGAATAAAATTTTTAATAATTACTTATAAAATATATTTTTATTTGGATAAATAATTTTGCTTATACAATTTATTGACAACTTAAAATTCTAATTTTTTCAAACTAACATTAGAGTCCGCAAAAAATTGAAGTTTACAATTAAATAAAAGTATTAAAAATACGATAGTGTTACTTAGGATCTATAGATTAGATAAAATACCAATGTCTAAATATATTTCAATTTCGTCGGCGTAAAATTGAATCGTACGCTTTTTGTGAAACGCAATATTCCTTATCAGTACGATAAAAAGGTATCATTAAACTGCATTAAGTGTATTTACATATTAATCATATAGCCAATTTGAAAATTAAGTAGCCAAGAGTACTATTATTCTTATTTTCTATATTACATTTTATGAACAAATTATAAAAATTGATTCTCAATGATTAACTTTAATAAAATATAAATTAAAATATTCTTATTTTTTATATCATCCATTATTTTATCTATTATATATTTCTAGAATTGTCTATTAAACAATCTTGCATTTCATCTTCTATCGATTATGCAAATCATTATTTTAGATTGTGTTTACATGTAATATTAATAGACAATCTGTATTTAATTATATATATATATATATATATATAAAATTTATAATCTTATTCATAAGAATTGAAAATTGAGGTAATTTTATAAATATCAGTCTTATGTATTTTTACTTTTTAGAAATACTTGAATATTAAAACATCAACATGTCCTAATAAGCACTAACTGCTAATAATAAGAAATTTTTCGAAGTTAATAGAATAAGAATTGTTTCACCAAGTTTCCTTACCGCAATTAATTAATATAAATGAAAATTTATTAACTATATTTTTATTATTTAGATGTATAATTTGTTCAAAATTAATATTTGTAGCATAATTTTAATTAATTATTACAAAATACTGGAATATTATAATTAAATTATATAAAAAAATTTTTATCAAATAATATATATTTCACTATCTTATATTTATGCAATTATTTATATTATATTGTTTATAAAACTTACATTAAATGTATAAATAAAATAAAATTATAGTAAAAATGTAGTGAAAAAATACATGGCAGTATAAGAATCGTACATAATAAATATTTTTAGACAAAAATACAAACAGATAAGTGAGAATGGTCGAACTATTGAATGAATTAAGAGTTTCGAAGCTTGTTAATGTATTTTATGGAAATTTTTTCTAAAGACTCTCAATACATTTTCACTTAAATAAATATGAAGTTCAAAAATTTACATAAGTTTTTTTAACTTTATAATGATGAGTTAAATTTAATATTATTCACGTATAAAAAGGCTTCTTCCAATAAAATTCACAAATTTTTCTTGACTATTTTTGAGAGGTGAATAACACAATAAATGAATATAAAAACTAATCGAATGAGCAGTATAAGAAAAATACTGGGGATACAATTTATAAGGCAACTAATTCTTTTAGAAGTAAGTCTTGTATAAATAGATGTATACAAATATTTATGCAAAACTATTAATTTATTTAATTTTAAGGTTTCACAATAAAATACTTTAACATAATTTTTTTTTTACATCATAATTTTTGTATTACTTTGCATTATAAATAGCATGTTCTGTTACATATTCTATTTCTTAATTTTATTATAAATTAAAAGAATTGTTTCTAATACCGCGTGATAAATAATCGATATGTATTGCTTGAGTTTTTACTGAGCAATTTTTATGAATATATGATTTTTTACGTACTTGTTCAACTGTAATATTTTCGATATATATTACACGACAAAACTTTTCCATATAATTAGTTTCCATTAAATTAATGAAAATATATAGTATTATTTAATTCTATTCTTATTAATATTATTTCCTCCAATGTCATATTGATTTTTAGTACACTAAATTTAAAAAATTACATATTTATTAAAATTTGTTTAGATATTATACTTAATAAAGTGATTTTTAATAGTATTTGGATAAGCTATATTTTGCAAAAATCATTTTAGCATATAGAATATCTTTTTGTTTGTTACATGTAGCTTGACCATTTCTATTTAAAAATAAATTGTAAAAATATTTTTTAAAGTTTACGGTAAAACTTTTAATACAATAAAATAATATTTTAATACACAAATATATCGTTATAAATATACACATACATAAACACGCGCGCCCGCGCAGGCGTATGTGTGCGTGTATTTGAGTTGCGCGTGGATGCATGTGTGTGTATTTGTGTTGTGCGTGTATGCATGGGTGTGGATGTATTTTTGTGCGCGTGCGTGTGTGTATACCCCAATAAACATATTGTATAATTGTATGAATATTAGCGCATTAATAAAAATGAACAAAAGCTTAATTATTTTTATAATTCAACATGAAACTTTAAAATATTATTTAAAAATATATATAAGTTTCAAAGATTCAAAAAAATCCTATAAATGGTTTTATGCAATTTTCATCGTAATGTAATATATTTATAAAATAATGTCAACTATAAATATAGAGTAATCATTAATACGAAAAATTAAATAAACATAACATCACAAATTTTTCGTACTCAATTAATTTCCTTCTTTACCTAATTATTTAAATGCGAAATACATATATATATATATATATATATATATATATATATATATATAATACGATTTTTTTTTTAATTGAAGTGAAGAACTATTTATGTTGCATTAATATTTAAATTATCTGTTAATGACGAAAGTTTTATAGAAATTACAAAAGGGAGTTACAAATTCAATTGATATGAATAAATTATTCTTTTCTATAATTGAGTTAGATATGTTTTGAAAATAAGAGTAATTTACCTTTATAGATCGTAATACAAGATTACTTAATATGATAATATGATAAATATTGGATACGGGGTTATTATATTCAATTTATTAATTTTATTTTTATTAAATTACAAAAGAGAGTAAATCAAAATTTTTTAATAATGTATTATTTATGTAAACAAGCGTAGATTTTTTATCTTTTTCCTTAGCCTTTTAATACATTATGAAATTCGCCAGAGTATTTTAATTATTATTGAAATAAGAGTGAAAAATAAAGAATAAGCTTCTGAGTTATAAACGCTAATAACAAAAGAAAATCTAAAATATAATAAATATTTCCATGAATTTCATACGTAAGTCGTCTTTAACTGCATTTTTTTAATTTATCAATTATGGATTAATTATTAAATATATTATAAAATAAAATAAGGAGATAAGAAGTATTGATTATAAACATATTTATTTCTTTTATTATAATAAAATGATTGTAAATGCAATCGTTTTTATTTATGTAATTAAATAAAACGCTATGAAAGATATTAAACGAAGGCAATGAAAAAACATGAATAAAAAACAAAGAAAGCGTGAAAAATATATAGAGACAGATAAATAGAACGAGTAGTAAGAACATCGACGAGAGACAAAGGTTAACGTCATGTAAGAATTGCGAAGACCACATTATGATGAATTGATCAGTTTCGTGTATAAAATAATTGCATTTTGTTTGTTGCCATTAATTATTGGAACACTTTACTCATTGGAATATATAAACCTGTGTTAGTGGGTAGTATGTTAAAATTAAGTACAAACCATATCGCAAATATTAATATCCAAATTTTAAAACATTTGTCAATCCAGTACATTCTGTAACAGAAATATTGTTAAAACTTTTCATAATTATACTTATCATTACATTATATTATCTTATATTACATATCATATACAAATATTTTTATCTTGTTAAAATAAATGATTTACAATATTTTAGAAGCATGAAAATTTTAAATTAATATCAGTAATGCGCAATTCCTGCGCATCTTATGGTATTTCAATATGAATTCGTATTTATATCGTATAAATGTATCAATGGAAAGTATTTATTTCATAGATAATAATAGTTTAAAATAAAATAAAATTAGGAAAAATTGTATAGAATCATAAGGAAGAAAGGGAGAAAGAGCGCCTGAAATATACAAAAGATAACCTAGTTTTAGGTATAAAACGATTGATCAAACTCTCGGTACTAAGGTAACGAAGAGTTAGTCAACCAAACAATTTTGGATTATTAGCAGTAGAAAAATTCATATAAGTTTGTGTTGTAAAAATTGTATTAACCATGTATAGATATTTATAAGTAAAGAAAGTATTCATCTAAGTATACTAGTATGCGAACAATAGTTTTCAATATCAAAGAAATGGTAATGAACAGATTAAAATTGGTTGTACCAAGCAAGAAAAAATTGTGACAACGTATATTATGAATTATAAGATGGAGTGAAATTTTTTTTGACGTATTCTTTATGGACAAAAATAGCATAATAATGATTACGATTTACCATTACTTTTCAAAATAAAATAAAAATATAATGATGTAAGTAATTTTATTATAATTTTCTAATAATACTTATTGCAAAATATTAGTCAAAATAGTCATAAAATATTATATAAATGATTTAATATCAACAAAGATTAAAAATATCAATTTCATACATATTCATCTTATTTCGTTGTATTAAAAGCAAAATCAATAAATTACCGATATTATAAAAATAGAAATTATATTCTTTAAGAAGAAAATTATCGAATGTAAATGACTTACCGGTCATAGTGTATTTTAGCTTCTTTTACTTTATTCATGTCTTCATTAAGCAGGTATTTTTTTGCGCCAACTATACAATTCCTACGATAAAATTAAAAACATTTTTTTTAATATCAATCTTATGATGTTTGAGTATTTATTTTATTAATACTTAGTTATAAATACAATTGGGATAACTGAATTATTAATTACATAAATTTATTCCATCCCAGATCGAAATTAAAGTACAATTTAGTGCAATAATATTTTTTCAATTTATTAATTTATAATTGATAAATAATATAGTATAAATGAATAATATTTGACAGAATAGAAAAAAATTCGATAAATGTATTGTTAAACTGAAACGTAAATCATAACATAATATAAAAATATATGTACGTATTTCAAAATATTTTAGAATGTATAAACAGCGTTTTATATAAAAGCATATGCATTGATAATCGAAAAAGATCTATAAATAAAATCTGTATTTTATTAAACTATATTTAATATTAATTCAACATTCCATATTACAATTCTTATTAAAATAATTAAATCATTTTTTCAATTAATATCGTAAACGAAGAACTTTTTAAATAAAAGATGTTTTAAATCTACTTACATTATAGAGAAAAGATTATTTTCAATTAATAACGTGATGTACAATTGGTTGACTTACGAAAAATATGTTTCTACACTAAATGCGGCATAATCAAATCCAAAATCATTAACATCTGTAGCTGAAATATCCGTTAATAATGTGAGCATCTTCTTATTCTTAAATTTCCATTCGTTTGTTAAAAAGTATAGTAAGGCATTATTAGCTGCATAGACCTTTTTTTGTAGCTTGAACAACCTAAACATTTTTTTTTTTTTTTTTATTGCATTCATACATTTCATAGATATCCAATACATATACTTCAGCCAAAATTAGTTTATTTCTAAATTTCATTAATTAGACAATCATAATTTATATTGACATCTAAATTAGTTATGAATATATGTATTATTAAATGCATTTCTAAACTTTTTCAATAGATATATTTTTTCTTATTTATAATTTTTACTTCTGTATAGTGAATTAGAAAATCAAACATTGTTTAACCGGTAATTTATAGGGAAAAAGCTTTTACTTAAAAACAAGCATATAAATCGGTATAAATTAAATGTATAATACAATCGATTAATTTCTGTTATAAACATATTTATATTTATATCTATATAATTTAATATTGTTACGTTTAAAAAACTGCTATTTAATCAAATTTTATTATAAATGACTATTCTTTAAAAGTTTCTTAATTTATTTTTCTGAAACGCAATCAGACATTATATTTATGATTTTTATCATAAAATTGTTAAATTATTATTCAAATATTTCTATGAAATTGCTATTTAACAAAACATAAAATATAATATATTTTTTCACGACATAAATTTAATACGTAATTCGTTTAGGGTATTTAAATGTTTATATATTTTAATAAAATTATATTTGAATAAATGTCTAATTCATGAAAATTTCAAAAATTAAATTAATACATAAAAATATATAATATAGATCTTACATAGGTTTTTTTCCAGCGAATTTTAAAAACATATCAATCACTAAACTAGGTAATAAATGCAATAATAGTGTGAGGATGTAATAGACATATTTATTACTGGCAATGACCACTTGAGGAACCCATAATATGTTCTCCAAGGGAATTTTTTCGGTGAATCGGAGTCCTAAATCCACTATTACTGACATACTTACACCCCGAATATCAGAAGATGAGCAATTATAAACGTGAATACTAGGATCCCTTGTAATCCTAAGGGAAAGAATTGATATCATGAATGGAAAAAAACACATACTTTAACAAAATTAAAGAAGTAAATAAGCAATTTAAAAATACAATTATATATTTCTTTTATTAAACGACAACATTATTATACCATTTAATAGAAATATATAATGTAGAAGAGAATGATTTTAAAACTCATGAGATATAATATAGTATGGTTTCATTTTTCAATTTTCATTAAAAATGATGTATATGCAATGTCTAAAGATATTCATGAATATATTTTTAAAATATTAACCTAATATTGTTACGATGTAGCGCTTAATGTTTATGTTAAATATGATTATAAAATTCTAATTCGAAAAATAATTTTTGTTTAAGGCACCTAGTTAATTTTATTATTTTATTTTAAATGTCATATAATGATATTTATATATTATAATAAATATGTACAGAATCTATTCTTATATTTTAAAATTTCTGAAATGTATATAGTTGAAGTAGCTAATAAATATAATAATAAGAAAATTAATGAGTTCACTTGTGTAAATGAGAATAATCAAAACACTGCAAATATAATTTTTAAAATAAGTACAATTTACATAAATAAAAATTTTAATTAAATATTGAACTTGTGTTATACAGTGTCTTGCACACTTGTAGCTTTACATAAACACATATTTCAACATCATTTTATTCATCTTCATGGTTAAATATGGTTTATGTAATGTTATTATTAACTCAATTGTTCCAACTGAAAAACAACAGAATTGTAAACAACTTTGTATTCCAAATAAAAACAAGCTTTAATGTCATTAATATAAAAATCATTACTAACGCAATTAAGCTATTTTAAAACCAATCTATTATAATTCTTTAAAACATATATCGTCACATAATAACTGAATAATATTGGTGTTCTTGAATATAATAATATATTACAATGAATTGACCTTGTTTATTATTTATTTATTAAATGAAGAATCATAAAAATTGATAATGTTTATACAAAACTTCATAATTCAAAGATAAAAAATAAACTGTCTTAAATACATCATAAATAGCATAAATTATGTATAATGGATGCTTACCACTATAATTGTCATTCCACAAACCTACTTAACTTTTGTTTTTACTGAAATTCGGATATTTATGTAAAATAATCCTCTTATTATTCATTTAATACGAATCACTTAGTATTCCATTTAAAAAACAATAATTATATGTAAAAAATTTTTAGTAATAAAAAATATTTATACTTAAAATTATATCCATTCATATTTTTTGTTGTAATTATTTTATACAAAATTCTATATACATATCTTTTTTAAATCATTTAATATCAATAGAAGTAATTAGTGCACATGTAGATTTAAAAATAATAAATTTTTAAACAATTTTTTATTAAAGGTTTTAATAAACAAAGATCTTAAAATTTCAAAATTCATTTTAAATATATAAAATCGTTCGATAGCAACGAAAGGTACAGCTAATTAATATTCTAAAAGAATGAAAAAATAATACATATATAAAATGTGAGTAGTGAAATATGCTTTGATTATCTTTTTTAATTCATAATTATGCATAATCTAATTAGGCTTCAAGCATTATGCTTGAATTTTTAACTAAAATTTGCGAGAAAGTAAATACAACTAGAGTTTTTGTAATACTGTGTAGTGCATAAGCTTGAATTATTGAATTAAGACTGATAATAGGCATAAGCTGATAATAAGACATAAGCCTGAACAATTAACTATATTTCAGAATCTATATTGAATTTTGCAATATAAATTCACCGGTATATTCTTCAAAATGTATATGTGCTATAAAATCCATATTCTAATTCCATACAATATAATATCTCTAAAGTTAAGAGTCTATAAAAAGAAATAAGAAAAATCTGAAATGAATAATTTAAAATGGAGGGTGGAACGATCGGTACGTAACGATTCCCCGTTTCCAAGTAGAAGTAATCATGGCCTTGATAACTACATCTACAGGTATAAAGTCGGCGTTGGTGTTCGAATCGAAATATATGACCCTAAGAATGCCTTTTCCAGCACCCACCATCATGCCAACAGGTCCATTGAAATTATCCAACCAACCAACAAGAGGCTCATCCACCGATGATATTACTGAAAATAAAGTCGCATGCGCACGATACACATTTATAGCAAATTTATTAATTCACGATAATATTGCTAAACAATAATTAGTAATTGGGTTGGAAAAAAAGATGTTAAGAAATGATTGACTTATGAAAAAACATCGATATGTGTATAGAGTAATAATATTTTCCATTGATTGAACTGAATAAATGAATATATAAATATTTACTATTAATTTTTTATAGTAAGTAGTTATTTTCAGTAATATATGGAACATTAAAAAAAAATAATAAAATGAAATAATATAATCTATATTGAGGCTAATGAATAATATTTATCAAACTTACCTATAGATGGCCTAAACACGATAATTGGTAATATGCCAGCGTAATCGGCAACAACTCCTTCGGCCAATCGTTTGGCGAATGTATATGTATTTGGAAAATTACCAATCAATCTTTAAAAATAATTAAAAAAATTGACTTTCGATATATTAATTCGTAATAATCAAACAAATTTTTCATTTTGTCTTTGTTATCATTGCGTATTACAATATATTTTATTTTACGTGTAATAATATGCTAAGATTTAATTTATTTATAATTTCCTATAAGTAAATCTATTAATATTGCAATTATAATTGAACGGAAGCTATTAATATTTATCATCAATGACTAATTTTTGCATACTAAAGCAAAGACGTTTTATTTGAATTCTTCACAACAATTATTTTACGCATTTATATTACTAATATCATTTTAATAATATATTTCTGTAATATTTAAAAGTAATTTTAATATATCATAACTTGTTAGACGAAGCCTCGTTTCTTTATCATCATTTAAAGAAGCCGAACATGTCTTTAAAATAATAATCATTAAATTGATTAATAAATGTGGCAGAATTTATAAATTTATAAATATATACGTGTAATTACTCTTTTAAAAAAATCATATTGTACAACTCTGAATGCTTACTAAATGTGTATACATTTGTGCCTACGTGCATATATATATATATATACGCATGGAATTCAATGGTGTGTTGGTGTATAGACATTCGCTATTTATATACTGAAGTTAAAACTTACTTTGATGTTAAGGGCTCTATGACAGAATCATTAAGAGTTTCGGTTATACGAATTATTTTTTTCCAATCCACTTCACTGGGATATAACTGCTCCTCGACAATATATTTGTCCGATTGACAATAGGTAGTACTGACATGCATAAGTGCCTGGAGTTTGTCATTTACATAAATAGGAAGCAAAATAATGAAATGAGTTTGATTTGATGTTCTCAGACTTGAATTGAAATATTAGAATTGTAAATAAGAAAGTCTCATGGTATAATCAAACATGCAAACATTTAAGAAAGTATATTTACAAAACACAATTGGTTCTATAAATATTTTTATTGGTGTAGTTAGAGTGTCGGGTGTAGATAGTATTGAACAATATTTTTTTCTAATAGAGTTTTTGTAAAAAAAATCTATTTTATTCCGTTCGTTAAATTTACTGTATATGAATAAATGTCGTGTATTCTTAAATTTTATTATTAATATTTTTAAATGTCTCCAAATAAGAATCGTTCGTTTAATTAATAAGGAATTATCAATAATGCATAAAAACGTATTAACATTGAAAAATAATATTGACAAACAATTACTTCGTAATACAATATTAAAAAAAATATTTCTCTACAATTATTATACACTATAATTTTATTACTTTAAGATTTTTACTTAGACGAATTAAAATTTACTACAATAATAAAATGATTCCATAAAGATTTTAAATAATACTTATGTATTAATGATTAAAATTATTAAAAAGAATCTTGAGAATTCTTATTGATTTGAAAAACGTGATTATTTCAACACTTCTTCAGAAAATATAAACTGCTAGTAAAATATTCGAATGACTTGTATACAATTAATCTATTATAAACATAATACATTTGCTTATTTTCGTTATCCGTAAAAGATATATTATCATGCGTAATAATCTGTAAAATACAATATATCTGCGCTAAATGAGAATGCTATCTAAAATACTTCTTCGACATAATAGAACGAGAGTTCTAATCAAATAAACAAAATTAAAAATGAATAATGACAATAAAAATAGTTTAACAATTGAGTTCATTAATATAAATATCAGATACATAATGTAAAAAAATTTTTCTTACATTATCCGTAATTTAAAAAATATATGGAAATTCGTAAAAGCATCTCTAGTGCATTAAGAATTATCAATCAAAGTGTTGAATTCTTATTGCTCGCTGAATTTTTAAAAGCGTTAGTCATTAGAAAATCTGAGATGCACCAGAAATATAAAGCACTGGCAATATTCAGTTATGCGCGTTTACCAAGTATAAAACCACACATGCACAGAGTTACAATCACGTACGCAAAATTCAGAAAAAGATGAACGGCAAAATTAAGGAGTTTCCGGCCAATCTGCAATACTAATACTCGCAACAGATACAGAAAGCGCGCGCACGCGCGCGAAAGTGAGAGAGAGAGAGAGACGCGAAATGAAATTTGGTCAGGAGATCACCGACAACCGAATAAAAGATAGCTGTGGGATGAGAAATCGACAAAGGTCAGGGATCGAGATAATGTTTTTACTCTTTTTATCGGGAGGGGATATATCTTAAATAGCATCGACATCGTCGCCATCCTGTCTCTCTTTTTCCATTAAATTTTAGATTTGTTTTCGTAGCCTTATTATTTTGGTAAAATATATCTGTTAATATTTTTACGATTATCTATTTTTTTTTTTTTTTTTTTTTTTTTTTTTTTAGAGATTTTTCGAAATTTTAAGAGAAATTGAAGATTTTTAAGGCAAAATAACCAGCTAATTTTGTAAAAAAAAAAAGTATTAAGGAGCATACCTTTTTTATACTATCAAATCACATAACGCAAAAATTTTGCATTTCATAATCGTATTGGTTCATTAGACAAGATCACTTACCACCAAATTTTTCATACTCGCTGCCAAAATGCATATATCTCTCGTAGATCTTGTGTTGATAATAATTGCATCTTTAAGAGGATCATTGAATCTTACGCTCGCAGCTACGTGAAATATAATAGAAACTCGTTCAATGAGTACTCGCCTTTCCACCGATGGTAATCCCAAACCCTCTGCACTTATGTCTCCTTGTATTGGAATTAATTTCTCTAAAGCTTTGGGTCGTGTTTCGCGCAATCTCATAAATATCTAAACGGAATTGAAGAATAACATGTATTATTCTTTTTATTTCAATGTAGCGGTAAACTAGATGGTAACGATCAATTACATTAAGAGGAATTATTAAATATTATAATTAATGATTAATTAGGCATGACTTAGAATTTTTAATGCCGGACAATCGTGTTATTATTTTATTGATGCCAATATATCACACAGTTTAATGTTTTTAAAATTCAAATTAAACACTAATTAGATGCAAACTCATTACAATACTTGTTTTTCTAAAATATATTTTCATATATATATATCTTTTATATTCCACTTTCATTTTTGCTTTTTTCTCTTTTTTTTTGTCTTAATTTAATATTTAGGTAATGGAACTTATTTATCGAAGCTAAGTTAATATTTGAAAATTTAAATATTATGATTTCTATGTAGATTTATAATCAAAGGGAAATATTATTATTATTATGATAATATAAAGGGGCGTAGTTTTATAATGTTCGCTTAGAAAAATTTTATGAAAATTATGCCATTGCGAATAAATATAATTTCATAATGAGTACCATTCCATCCAACATTATCCAGTAATATCAATAGTTATGATTACAAGATATTTGATTGTATAAATAAATTTGTGAATAATATTAAACTTAAATAAAGCTTTTAAAAACACGTGGTTAAATAGAAAAATTAAATTCCTATGAAATTGTATTCACTTAGGACATGCAAATTTCTAAATAACTATAATATAAACATAAAATTTTTAAACATCGATAGATAGATATAACAACTCTATAAATTTATTAATGAATATCTTTAAAGAATTTATTATGTAATTATAACATATAATAAAAAATACTACAAATGATTATTAATATATATTAGATATAATTAATATTATTATTAGAATGCATAAAATAAATTAATTATTTATTCTTAGATGTGATTAATATCCATAATCTTTTGACAGGATAAATAAATTTTCAGTTTTCTATCATAAGAATTCTGCACTATAAAAATAATGTATTAATTAATATTTTAATTATGTTTTTAAATGTTAATGTTATGAATTACGTGATTTTTTAAACAATATTATATCTAATAATTATAATTAAGAGGTCATGTTTTTAAGTAATGGTACGCAGGTTTATATGTAATGAGCATTATAAAAATTGAAATTTACATGGCCTATAATTTGTAATCACATCTGCTTCGAATGACAATAAAGTAGTGAAAATCGCAATAATATTATAAAAATACAACAATCTCTATTATCGTATATATTAAGAATTTTAGTAATTTATTTTTAGTAAGTTAATCATACGCTATTTTGATGTTGAAATATTGTAATAATAATTCAAACTTTATACTATAAACAATTTAAATCTATTAGCTTTTTCTTTTAGTATTGTTATTTTTAAAGAAGCTCAATGATTTGTTATTATTGTTGCGTATTATAAAAGCGTATATATTTATTATTTGCTTTTATTTACGCGCAGATGTTATATAAATTCGTAAATTAGTACAGTTCACTAACACAAAAATTGATAAAACTAAGAATATCCTTTATGAGCTAAATTTTGTTTTAATGAGCCTTAATTTGAGTGAATTTACAGCATTAAAATTGTTCTACACTTGTTTATTCTTATAATCTTAATAATTAACATTTGTAAAATCATATGAATTTGATTTATTTAATATTATATAATTTGAAGTTCAAATAATTGCAATTCTTTCAGATATATTGGAAATTTGATCAAAAACTAAAAATCGTACGATACTCACAGGTGATGTCAGCATGTGTCTCAACCTATCATCTATTCCCATTTTTTTTTTCGGTCTCATTAGTAGAAAGATCTCGTGGATGTCAGGACAGGACCAAAGTAACTTTTCGAGTAATGCTTTGCCCATAAAACCTGTGGCGCCGGTCACGAATATACTCCGTCCGGCAAAGAACGCCGGAATCGAATTCGATGGATCCATTTTCTTATTGGTTGTCTGCATTAATATACAGAATATGGTTTTATTTTGTAATCTTAGAATTTATTTGTATTTGATGGAAGGCTGCTGCTCCAAAGGAACTCGCATTTTTTATAACTGAATGGCTATCATTGTAAAGTTGCATGAAAAGTGAAAAATAACGTAATATTATTGATCGTATTGTAATAAAACTTAGCAGTATCCGATTATGAAAAATCTTTGATATTAAGGCTTTCATTTTTTTTACACTATTTCATATAATAAATAGTGTGTTCTTTCAAATAGTTGTAAACGTACATTTGTTAATTTAAAGAATAAGCGAATTTTAATTAGTATGTTTGTAAATTAAGTCAACATCGATTAAATGTTTATATGATTATACGTATCAAGATTATTTTTTCAGTCATCTAAACTATATTTTAGAATAGTTTATTAATATAATATTTAGAAGAATATAATAAATAGATTTTATATATGAATTTTATAGATAAATATACATAAGACCAGTTATTTGGTTAAATAAAAAGTAATAAATGAAAATCACTATCAATATCAAATAGTATAATATAAACAGTATAGTTTCCAAATATTATTTTTCTTTCAATTTCTAACATTTAAATTCCATCAAATTTTAACGCTTGAAATATTAGTTATATTTTCTACGTATTTATCTATATTAGCAATTCATGAACGTTTTACTTCTAATTAGAATAAGCATATCAAATATTTGTAATTACAATTTTTTCTTATAATATTCTATTTCAATAATAAACTATTTAGAGCATTTGACCTATCATCTTATAAATATAAAACCATATTTATCCAGGATTTATAAAGTAGTGATATAGTAATTTACAAGCACTTATATGTAGATAATAACTTTATCAATATTAATATATATGTAATATAATGTTTATCTCTAGTCAATAATGCAAAGATTTAATAATGGAAATTCAACAATTGACAAACTGAATATAGGACAAACTCAAAAAAAAAAAAAATATATATATATATATATTTGAACATAATTCCAATATACGAACTTATATATGTAAATATTGGATAATTTTTTAGAATGACTGACTTCAAGTACAGTTTTATTACGCTTAACATGTATTATTCTAACGTTATTCTACTCGTTCTACTCATAATTTAAAAATAATATTTTCAATTGTTAATTTATTTCTATATAGGACAAATATTCATATTTATTTATACCTATAATTTTCATGATTTTTAGAAGTTATATCGAGTTATCAAACCTATATAAAATCTTGGTGAAATTATCGTCTCCATCTTCGTAAAATAGAAACGGAGATAATATTCGTAGGGAAATATAATGACAAATAATAAATTTTTTTCTTTTCCAAATAATTTTTTTAAATAATTGCCAATGTAATTGTATCGATTTGAAAATCATGTACTTATAAATCAATAATGGTATATCAAGTTCATATTAAGAAATCGATATGTACATAATGAAAGCTGAACCGATTACCATATTTTTAATCTTCGATTCCAATAAAATAATCATAATTAAATTATCATTTAATTTTTAAAAAGTGTTATATCTTGTTATAAGAACTTTAATTATTAATAAATTGTTCGTTTATGTATTTACTTGAAATTAGTATTAATTAATTAAATCATTGAATATAATTATAAATATTATTGACCATATATTATAAAACTGAAATTACGTAGTAAATATGTTTAAGCAGAACAAGAAAAAAATATATTTTAAATCTCAGAGTTTTTTATTGAAGGAAAGTACAATGTCATTTCATATAATATTTTGTCGTTATTATTATTATTCTATAACATTAACAAGATGTATACTCGTAACACATTGAATTATTATAAATTACTTATATTCATAGGCTATAGAACAATTTCCTAATTCTAGTATTAATATTTATTTGAATAATTAGCAAAAAATGTGAAATAGCTGATAATTTTCTCGTACATATATCAAACATTCAATCAGATATTTAATATTAAAAAAAAATTAATTTTACAATAGGCTATATATAGTGACCGAGTGATATTAGGAAGTAAATGATAAGTACTTCGTAGTAAACGGTACTACTCGAATTAAAATTAATGTACAGACAGATATTTATTTTTATTTACCTTATTAATATTTACTTAATGTTATATCAACGCGATTATTTTTATCAACGTATCAATTAAAAAGAAGTAAAAAATTGATATTTTATTAAATTAAATTTATTGTATTTTTCTTTTTTTTTTCATATTTACAATATATAAAACTTATAAAAACATGTTTTACCTTTGGTAATTTACTGATAATTTAATAAAATTATATGTATTAATGCTTAAAAAATTGTTATAAATAGCATGTAAAATTTTGAATGATCACTATTAAGGAAAGAAATTCTTTAATAATTGATAATTTTTTTAATTTTTCAAAAGCCAAATACAATGTAATTTAAACAAAATTCAATCAACTGTCTCGATCAATCAACATCTTGCCGACAAAATTATTCTACTAATCGTTAGATATGAAATATCTACAACAGTAGATAATAAAATGAACTTTATATATTTTCAAAATGATTTACAAAATGTAAAGAACAATATATGGACTTCGTAAAAAATAATATAAATCTTTTTACGTTTAAAAATTATCTTTCTAATATATATTATTTTATTGAAACCTACCGCACTGACTTTATTATCAGTTTGTGATCCACGATTTCGAAATATTTGCGCGAACCACTACGGGAAACACAGTAAATAATAAGAGTCACATAAAAAGTACACGAGCACTCACTGGCCAATTAATATATATTAATAATAGTGCAAATGAATGAACTTCAGAGAAGAAATCTGAAGCAGCAGTGAAAAAATAACTAGTGACTGTTTGTTGGAACCATCGACAATAAGTTTGTGCAGGCGCTAGACAGGAAGTGACACAATACCTCTTGGCCAGGTACTTAAGCAGCCGCGAGACGGTGACTAAGGTCCCCAGTATACGGGGTCAAAAGGTAGCTCCTGCCTCTCATTAATTATTTAATGCGTGGTCGACGCTTTGCTGCGATGTTAGATATAATGCGACACATTTGCATTTGTTTTTTCGAGATTGTGAGCACAGCACTTATATTACAAAAGATTTTTCTTTCTTCATACATTTATTTTGCATGCTATTTTGATGAAATTTCCCCTCTCCCTCTCGGCCCCTCTCTCTCCCTCCCTCTCTCTCTCTCTCTCTCTCTCTCTCCCTCTCTCTCTCTCTCTCTCTTCTCTCTCTCTTCACTCTCCATACATTATAACGATGTGTGCATATAGACGCTACGCCTGGATTCTCGTTTAATCATATTTACACACATTTATTTATATGCGTTCGTTTATTTTGGCTTCGTGTATTATTATTATATTTAAATTTTGTAATTTTAAATATGAACATACTCATGTGTTTATGTAAATTCTTGTATGAATATATATAACTGCGTAAGTCGATGTACATAGTCAACATTGTATCGTGCAACTTGGTATGTGTATGTACGTATATGTGAAAGATTTCGTATGCATAATTTGATAATACTAGCAACGACATTAATGACTTTGTTGTTATTTAATTTACATTTTTTATTTTGGTTAGTCATTATTCGTTTATACTTAATAAATGTAATTAAATCCATTGTATCTCTGTATGCACTTTAGTTGGCTTTACGCCCAAGAGTGAATATTGCTGTTTATATTCTTTGAATATACTTGCTAATTGGATCATTTATATGAAGTAAAATTGTGTTCAATTTTAGTTTTATAAGCACTCGACGTTCAGCATTAATAATTCCATCATTAAATTTAATAGCTACTTAACACCTTTTTCGTCTTAAATAAATATTATAAACTTCTAATATCATATAGTCGTTGATTTTACGAAATTTTAATATTAAAAAAAAATCAAATCATTATTCCTTATATTATATAAATGTAGTATGAATTTTAAAATAATGATAATTCCATCTATAGTAATTTCTTTTTACATCATCTTTTGATATATAATATAAATTAATTTTCTATCGTGCGGTATATTCAAATTGAATATTTTAAGAAAATAACAATCAATAAGCAAAATAAATATACAATTACTAAATAAAATTTTACGATATAATCTAAAAAATGTAAATTAAAATCTAAAATCTTTAAAATTTTAATCTAACGATTAAAAAAAGCAATTGTTTTAATTATCTCTAATTGTATATTTTATACCATTTACTTACTTCTTTTGTACGAAGAGTAAACGTTAAACTTATTTGAAAACAACTGAACAAATAACAATACTCTGAATATAATCTCTGGCTAATATATAATAATAATTTTTTATGAATTTCTTTTATCAGTTGTCTATTATAAATGATTAATTTTTAAAAATTTCATGTAGAATGAAAGAATTAAATTAATTTATCCTCGTATTTATTTTCTAGATTATTATTGATAAAACATATAATTTAGGTATATTTTTATAAAATATAAATTTCACGACATTTAATTTATAAGCATCCTAGTATGGAATTAAATTTGGAATTAATGGATAGTTTATATACTTCAATGATTATTTCCATAGAGGTTCATGAGTCATTGTTGGATCTTGATACGATTTGTTAATCTAGTCAAGTAGTAAATTCATTATAACAAATGTAAATAGTATTTATAAGGGAAGATAAACATCTATGTATTCTCGTACTGTATTTAGGTTCGTGAGGAAACATGTTTACTGTAAGTTTATATCTAAAATTGATATGAAAAACTCTCGCTATCTATTTCATTTACCTTCATACGTCGATTAAAATTATTTATATAACATAATAGGAATAATATTATTGCAAAAAGTTTTAAACAAGGCAAAAAGGATTCTATACTTGTCCTGCAGTGAGGTACCTGGATTGATCCATCAGGTCACGTCACTTTCGTAAAATGTATTACTTCTCATAATTATCAAGAAAAATTAAATCGTTAGCATATTAAGACAAGTCTTTCATAATACATAACATAAGATGTATACATGTCGACTAATATCTTTAATAAATATAGTAATC